CAAGGAGCATCCCTCCAGTCCTCCCTGGCTGAGAGCTTGCCTGTGAAGTTCTCCAGCCATGGGACTGGAGGAACATCTGTACAATTCAGCTCCCAGGATATTTTTCGACCAGAAGAAATAAACGCCTAATAAGCAGTCTAAAGCTGCTCTCTCTGAGGCAGAGAAAACTGCCTCAGTTTGTTGTCGCATCAGTCGAATTCAATGATCTCAACCTTTTCTGAATTGAGGCACCCCTCATTAGACTCAAGGAGGCATCCCTCCATAACTTTTGTAAATTGAGTGGCACCCAATTTCAAAACCTAATTTATAGATTACTATGCTTACCTCCTTGTAGAGGGGCTGGGCAGCGGGGGTGGGGAACTGTTCAGATGAGGACAAGCCTGAGCCTGTGTTTATCTACTTATCTCCTCACATCTTGGGATACCCTTCAAAGGATCAGGAGGCACCCCGGCTGGGAATCACCTGTCTAACTGGTCAGTTCTGTTCCGTTCTAGTTTTTGCATCTCAAAAAGGATATAGTAGAATTAGAAAAGATAAAGAGAAGGGCAAACAAGTTATCAGGGTTATGAAACAGTTGCCATAACAAGACTAACTAGGAAAGCTGGGTCTCTTCAATGTGGAAAGAAAGCTAGAAGACAGAAGTCTAGAAAATCATAGATGTCATGGACAAAGTGTATAAGAAACTTATTCAGAGAGTCCCAGGATACTAGAACTAGGGAGCACACCCACTGAAACTAGCAGGAGGCTGTTGAAAACTAACAAGAGGAAGTACTTTTTTTATGCAGCACACGTTTAACTTGTGGAACTCATTACCACAGGAGGTTGCAAAGGCAGATGGTATAAGCCAGGTTCAAAAAAGGACTAGAAAAATTAATGGACAACTGATCTATTAATAGCCATTAAAACAGAACATTTGGAGCTATTTCCTCTGACATTTCTAAACCACTTCTAAATGATGCCAGGAAAGGTAATGAATAGGGAAGATTACCCCAGATATACATAGGGTTCAGTGCTCTTCTTCTAAAGCTTCCACTTCTGCTACTGTCAAAGACAGGATACTGGGCTAGATGGATGACTGGACTGACTCAGTATGGCATTTCTTGTGTTAAATGAAGAGGTATGAGGTTTCTCTCTCTCTCTCCTTTTGACTCCATTGCAAAATTTCTTACACCACTGTGAAATGGACAGGCTAACCAAGCAGCAATATCCAGACTAGTGAATATCTATCTACATTTGACATAATTCAATTCCCACAGAGGGTCACATTAAATCTTTTACCACTGTTTGCTGTTCATTGTTCCTTATTTTGAGGAGAGCTAAATAACTGGAGCACAATTTCTTTCATGTGCCATTTGCATACTGCCACATCTAATTGCTTCATCTTCTCTAAGTTGCCATTCATTTAATAGATTTACTTTTCTGAGGTATTTGAATGTCTAAACAGACACAGCACTGTTAAAAGTCTGGTTCATGCCAACAGTTTATCCTCGTTCAGC